ATAGATGATTCCACCGCTCGTAACCCGTGACCTATAGGTAACATAGAGACAACTTTACCATGGTACCAACGCTCCCATTCTATATGCAAAAATGTTACGGCAAAGAAAATGGAAGGAACCAGGCTTATCTGAGAGTGACACAAGACGAAGTGAGGGAGAGATCTGAAATGCCAGATTTTATGGCGGACAAAGCTGTGGGCTGAGCTGCTGCATTACACAAACATACATTTGATACATATGCGTGGGTAAAGTCGTGAGAGGACTAACACCAAAATATGATATCCATGGATGTGGAAGGTAGCACCCAACGGTAGCCTATTTCTCCTTCTAAAGCATCATTCATAAGACAAGACAGGCCAACTTTCACAGACAGTGCTTCTTTGACATTCAATTCAGCAGACTTAAACAGCTTATGGAACACCACACAGTATTTAATAAAAACGTATTGTGGCATCTGCAGGCAAAGCATGTTATTGTGCTACGCGGTGTCTCATTGAGGGTGCATAGCAAAGACTTGCACTTAACATAAATTAGGCTTCTGAAATTAAGTTGTGTGATGCAAATGTTTGTGCATATAGACTCACCACGTTTAAAATATTTGGTAAGATGTCTCTCATCATTTTTTTTGTGTGTAGGGAAGGGGGGCGGGGGGGTGTAGTTGTACTAAATTGTCAATAGATCAAATGGACTAAAATAATTAGAGGCTAACACAGATTACTCTTCTAAAGAAAAAGTAAGAAGGTTGAGAAGCGATACAAGAACATGAGCCTATACCTCAATTTGTCTCTGCTGCTCCTTGCACGATCGAGCAACAATTTCATGCACCGTATCACTAGATTACAGAGAATTTTAATTTATTTTAGATAAGGAAGTAAATGGCAACAACATCAACATGTGATATAGACAACAAAGCAATAAGAACACCGTGAAGTATCATTAAAACCAAATAAGGAACACAAAGGACAACCCATTAATCACGCCGTTCTAACACAAGTTTCACAACGAAATCACTCCGTGATACCTCATATCATAGTCGCAAGTCCCGGGTCTCAACCCACCATCATATACACGGCACCTTGTGCCCACATCTTGAATCACAACCACATGGATAACTCACGTGCCAAAATCACAATTCGCCCAGCATAGTCACAGTCTCACAGTCACAATCCGCCCGACATAGTCACAGACCCACAATCACAATCCTTCCGGCATAGTCACAGGCTCATAATCACAATCCGTCCGGCATGATCACAGGCTCACAATCACAATCCGTCCGGCATAATCACAGGCTCAATAGCAACATGAAAACGGATAATACAAGAACACATGGGCAGTGATAAATAAAATGTCAAAGTTTCATACTCTATTAAGACTGGTATAAGTGGCAATGTCAACGTCTAGTATGCTTTGTGCGAGTGTACTACTGCAGTCCTAAGTCAACTACGTAACTAATC